ACGACTCCACAAGTACTTTCTAGTAGTATTCTTTTTAGTGATGGACCGGTGGTGGGGCTGGTTTATTAGGAAGACCTTAGCAAAGGAACACTTTCCACTGTATTTCTGTATATGTGTATTGTATTGAGCCAAAAAGAATACGAAAAAAAAGAAGAGGAAATTACAGCTTAAAGGACTGAATCGTATGTTTTGGGCCAGCCCAACTATTGGGGGATAAAAATTGAAAGGTTCAATAATGCAACATGCCAGTCCTTTGGGCTCTATCTCTTAAATAACAGCTTCAACAACTGTTTTATTTGGATTTTGTGATTTTGGAGTTCCTTTGTTTTTATTTACATATGTTGTAACTTGTTTTGATTAATTTTTTTTAAATTGAAAACAAATATCAATATACATAAAATAAAATTAGGGGTCTGTTCTGATTTACTGAACAGAATTTGAACTTATTGGAGTTGAACTAAACTGAACTGAACTGAATTAATTGGAGTTGAAATGAACTGAACTGAATTATTTATGAAAGAAAGAAATTAGGAATTAAACTGAAAGTAAATTGAAGAGAACAAGCCCTAAGTTAAACCAAATTGATATAGAAAAAATTTTAAATCATAATTGTGCAAGTAGGAGATAAAATCAAAATAGTGCAAGGGTGTAAGTGGGTTGTGAAGCAAAAGTGGTACTCTATATTGATTATGATTTTTTTTTCTTTTTTTTTCTAGGATTGGCTCTTAATCAAAATATGTTACCTAAGGACAAGTTATGTTATTCTCATCTTTTTTTTGTTCTACCTAGGACCTGTTCTAATTTAGGGCTTGCTTGGTTCAGCTTATTTTTGTTAATGTGATCTGATTGGAATGTCAAATTTGACCAAACTTTGACCTTAAATATACGATAATCTACACGGAAAAAATTTATCAAGTGGGATGTGTTAGATTCATAATATTGTGTATTTTATTAATATGTGATTTTCATAATTTTTTTTCATTTCAAAATTAAAGATATTTAGTGATAAAAATTGCACATAAACCGATGATCTGATCTGAACTTATTTTTTCTGATCTAAAGTTATTTTTTCTGATATGAATTTATTTGTTTTGAAATAAGTAAAAATAAGGTAAACTAAACAAGGCCTTACTGAATTGAGTTGAACTGAACTGAACTAAATTGAATTAAACTGAATTGTTTATGAAAGAAGGAAATTAAGAACTGAATTGAACTAAACTGAACTGAATTGAATTGAAATTAAGCTGAAGAGAACATACCTTTATTTTATAAAATAACAAATCTAGATTAATAGATTAAAAAATATACTACTCCTTAATTGGTTTTAAGAAAGCCAGTATTGTATTTCATAAATTCAGGTGAACATGATACGGATTACGCGCTAATATGAAGCAAATTAAATGATTGACATTCATGTGTCTTAAAAACCTATGAATATAATATTTAAATTTGAAATGGGATATGAATCATATGATAGATATGACTATATGAGTTTACATTTGAATTCAAGCCAAATCATCAAAATGTATGTATGTACTTCCCCAAGGTGGTGCTCAACATCTTATCATAGGCAGCAGGTTCATAGGATTGACTTTAGGAAGATGGTGCCACACTCTACTGCATGCACTCTACCATTATTTCAAAATAATATGTACTCGTACTACAGTAGTATATTTAATGTTTGTTTTGATAATAAAAAAATGAAGGCTTGAAATTAGACCAAGTACTAGAGTTATGTTTAGGTCTCATAGCACATGGGAGCTTCAAAAAAGAAAAAAACAAGTAAAGCAACAAAAGAGGTTCATATGACAAAGGTAGGCATATAAGTTAAGCTTAAAAGGGTAAAAAAGAGGGAATGAGGGGGTAAAATGGTAAATGCAAAGGCAGAGGAGGTGAAGATGTTGAGCCCATTCAATATTATTGGCACAGTAAAAAAAATAAAAAATGGGAATGGTAAATGAGACTGACATGTCAACCAGCTCAAGTCACTTCCTGCATTGCCATTGTTAATGCACTTATACACAAACAGAACACCTCCTTGGACTCCCCCCATCTATACTTTTCTAGCTTTTTTTTTTTTTTTAAAAAAAAAAAAAAAAAAATCATACTATTAATTTCTTAGATGTATTTTCCTTAATTAAGTATTAATAATTAAATGTTTGTAAAATTAATAAAAAGTTAATACTATAAAACTTATTAATATGTATACCTGTAACAACATTTTACTTGATACTACAGTAAGTCAATAACGTTTACTTGAGTATGTTAGTAAAAATATAGTCAATGTTTACGTATAAATGGTGAAAAAAGTCAACTTATATCGATTATTATACTAGAATAGATGGAGTAATTTATTTGTTCATACCAATAGTTTACTAACCTAATCAATACAACTCTTATTAAGCAATCTCTTAAGCGAGGAATAGGGTGATACTATTTGTTTGGGTATCAGGTAGAATATTGTGAGGAATAGGTTTAACCTCCTGCAGTTCTGTAGCAATGTTATTGGGGTATGTGATAAGCCTGACACCTGTTAACAAGTTGACTTTCTTAATTTGTGCAACTTCTTGTATTATTATTGCTGCACTTTTTTAGAATCCAGGAGTACATAGATTGTAGTATTAGAGAAAATAAATGGATGATTTATTCAATAAATAAAAAGGAAAAAATGGGTGCACATTTACTGAAAATCTATACTGCAAAGTATAATAACTAAAAAGGTCCTACCGGGAGTCGAACCCAGGTCGCTGGATTCAAAGTCCAGAGTGCTAACCACTACACCATAGAACCTCTTGATATTTGTAAATAGCTAAAATAATTTAATAAACGCAAATTTGGGAGATATCATTCAGTATCAAACAAAAATAACATATGTGCACTTTATTAAAATATAGAGGGAAATATTTTTATCGTGATGGATAGAAATGCTTGATGAATGATGATAGAATATAGATCCATCCTGAAATATAGATCAAGTTAAATAAGCAAGGTAGACAATTTAGAAGAAAATTCACATTAAAGTTCGGATTATTAAAAAACAATCCAAAGTTGGAATTATTTTGGGCAATCGAGTAAAGTTGAGATTATTTCTGTTAATTTTTCTTTTTTTCTCTTTTTTTTTTTTTTTTTTTTTTGAACTGCCTAGGAGATGCATCATGCATGCATTATACTTGTTATGTAAAGCATTGCCATGACCATGCTATAATTTTCTTGAAGAGAAGTCAAATTATGGATAGTCAATTATACCTAATTTATACTTTAGTATTTAAAAACCCAAATCATCATCCTCATAATGCCACATGTAACTAATATTTTTCATCAATGCCACATGTCATCTCATTTAGCCTTTCTCATATTAAAAATAATACACTAGCTTTAATTCAATACATGAATGAATGTTTGGTTCACTTTCCCTCAACTTAATATCTTCTACAATTACATTCAATTTTCACCTCTTTTTCTCCTTTATAAACTATTCATTTTCCAATAAAAAATATATTATAAAATTAAAAATTATATTATATACCTATAAACAATCCGTGCATTGCACGGGCCAGAAGGCTAGTTTGCTCTTTCAAAGGAGATGCATTATACAGTTTGTATCCAAATGTCCAATTTTGCTAAAAAACGAACATGGTCTTTTCGTACATTTGAAATCATGTATATATGTAAGACCGTAACTATTACTCTTTCAATCCCTCTCTAGAACATCAATTTGCCTTCCTAATTAGTCTGTCCCTTGAAATTGCAAAAATTGCTCCAATGTATATGTACTTATACATCATCCTCTATGTAACGTCTCTTTATTTATCTTCAATTCACAAATTTACACTCAATTAGTACAACTCTTAATTCCATCCTATAGTCCTTAACAAAATGAGAAATGAGAATGCGACAACAAATGAAAATGACAAAGAAAGAATCCATGATACCAAATAAATTACACGAGGGAAGCATTAATTTTGACGAGTACTAGGACAACAATCTGGAGTAAGGCCCTGTTCTCTTCACCTTAAAAAAATTATATTATTTAAAAATATTTTCAGTTCAGTAAAAATAAGTTCAGTTTAGTAAAATTAATTTCAGTTCAGTAAAAATAATTTCAGTTCAGTAAAAATAAGTTCAGTTCAGCAAAATTCAGTTTTATTAAAGAAGAATTATAATAGAAAATCAGTAAAAATAATTTCAGTCAGCAAAAATAATTTCAGTTCAGTAAAATTAATTTAAGTTTAGTAAAAATAATTTAAGTTCAGCAAAAATAATTTCAGTTCAGTAAAAATAATTTCAGTTCAGCAAAATTAAGGGGAAGAGAACGAGGCCTAACTACATAAAATTACTCCTAACTATTTTTAGTTCAACTCGATCTTTTTCAAGCATTAATGCATTACTACGTATTGATTTACATATAATTATTACACTTCAATTTTTGCTTGGTTAAGCTATACACGTACTTAACTTAGGGCATGTTTTCTTCAGATTATTTTCAGTTCTAATAAATTTAGTTCAACTCAGTTCAGTTCCAATCAATTCAGTTTTTAATTTCCTTCTCTCATAAAATATTTAGTTAGGTTCAGTTTAGTTTAGCTCCAATCAGTTCAGTTCAGTCAATCAGTACATGCCCTATCTATTTTTTTCTAATTAGTATTTTAAATTAACTTATTATAGTGCAAATTGAATTACTTACTCTAATTTTGTAAGGAAGTATATTTTTACTTTATATTCCGTATAAGACTAAAGTTAACTTTATTAACGGCCCATATTAGTCAAAAGAAATAAATGAGTGTGATTTAATCTAATTTAATAACTACAATTTTATCGTGGCTATTTAAAAATTGTCCTAAACAAACTTCCTTGTATAAAATCAATTCAATTATTTGGAGGGATTACTCATTCATGAAGTCATGTACCTGAGATTTGTTCGAAGAAGCTATGCGAATTTTCCTCTATAGATTTGTTCGAACAAGCAACTGAGCAAGTACCTCATACTACTCATAGGCGCATAGCTAGACATATAAGACAGCAAACATTATAATGTGACCATCTGATTCATAGTACTCGTAACTCCTAATTCCAAAATCTACTGTTTTTTCTCTTTTTGTTTTAATTTTATTTACATTTTTAATTCCCTTTTATCCCAATAAAAATCCAGGAAATAACGCGACACGAGGTTTTGTTATTTCACTTTCAATGTCTGTTTTCTTCCCTTCATTAACTCTTGTTTAGAAGACAGAAGAGATCAATGTCAGTGTATATAAATATCAGAGTATTTTCTCTGTTACAAAACCAACATTATTTTGAAGTTTAATGTATACACTTTTTTTTTTCAACTTGATTTGTTAGAAGTTGAGAGATGGATAAAGTGGAGGTTGGGAGAGTAGGAAGATCCTCAACAAGTGAGAGATTAGTAGAGGTAAATTCGATTAGTCCGACCCCGGATAGCGCGAAATTAACATCAATTGCCAGAAAAAGTTGTCATAAACAAGTTCAACAACATGAACAACACCCTAAAAGTAGAGGAATGAAGATGTTCAACAAGGTTCAAGTTGTGTATTATCTCACTCGGAATGGGCAGCTCGAACACCCTCATTATATGGAGGTCTCCCACTTAGCCACCCAACCCCTTCGCCTCAAAGGTATGCAAATAACATACTCGCTTTATGTTACTCCCTTCATCTCATTTTATTTTTGGTTCAAATGGGACAAGTAAAATTAGATGATAATAAGAGTATTTAGTTGATTAATTTTTATTAATTGCGAGTAGTTGTGGATAAATGTTTATTATTAAGAAGAATTTGGCTAGTACGTACGTATTATTTTATATATGCATCCTGATTCTCAAGTCAATTGCTCTATCCGAAGCTTGTTGTTACACCCGGCCCTATAATATGGTCCTCTCCTATAATGTAATTAACTGATTAATTGTGTATTAGGAAATAATCATAAACCATGCATGTATCTTGTAATTTGAATAATTTTTTCGGACACTTTTTATGTATAGTATACTTCGTATGTTATTATTAACTATTTCAGGACGGAGAGAGTATATTTAGTCGACTTTTGATTTTTATATCATGGGGATTATAATATGGCTTTAACTAGATACAGAGTACAGAGTATATAATATGGTTTGTTAGGAAACATGCATGAAATAATGTGTTATACATCTGAATTGGCACATGATACAGATGTCGTAGACAGATTAGCGGTGCTAAGAGGGAAAGCAATGCCTAGTCAATATTCATGGTCTTGCAAAAGGTAAATCTATTACTATTTCCATCACTATCACTCTTTGTAACATGTATCATGACAGATTAATTTGAGTTTATTTTGCGTAATTGTGTAAGAATTTCGATGTTAATTGTATAATTTGTATGTAGGAGCTATAAAAATGGATATGTATGGAATGACTTAACGGAGAATGATATTATCTATGCTTCTGAGGGATCTGAATATGTGCTCAAAGGATCTGAACTCCTACAAGAGAAAGACTACTCTGGTTAGTAATTTCTTGTTACACTATGGTAATACAATTATTGAATTATATGTGAAATCAAAATAACACTTTTCGGATTTCGGAAAAGGGTAACATTATCATGTGGTGTTACTGTAACAAGACTACGCCAGAGTTAGTATGGAGTATGTTGTATGCATAACTTTTGTTATTCAACTACATGGTGTTTGTTTTTGATGTTGTCTTCTTATTATGATAACAACCTTTTGTCATACACTTCCTTTTGGTTATGTTTAGGTTCATTTTTACCTGTCTTTTTCTTGGTCTTGATACATTCCTTCTGTTTTTTTTGGTATTATTTGTTCTAGAATTTGTTGGGCATGTAAGTTTTTAAATTTGCTAATTTATGTTTGTCAGAATACTAAAGACAGAGAATACTTATATACTCATAATTGTTTCTGCTTTTAGCTTTGAGAGAACAATAACCTCTGCTGCTTTTTGCTAGCTAAACTATGAATATATTTGGTGGAGTATGTTATGAAATATCATCAGTTAACACATCCTAGTAATGATTTATGAATGGCAGAGATAAGATTAGAAGAGCTTCAAATCAAAAGGGGGCAGCAAAGGCAAGACAGTCGCATAAAAACAAATGGATTGGTGATGAACAAATCAAGTGGCACACATGAAGGACAGAGTTATAGACAAGTAGCAACCAAGCATCAGGAACAAAATGCTATTGTTAAGAACTATGAGCATACTGACAATAACAACGATGATGATGAGGAGGAGGAAGATGACGAAGAGAAGGGAAGCTGCAATAGCTCAAATGCGCCTTATCCAGCTACTCAGATGGAGCAAGAAGAATCTTACTCCCTGCCTTCCACTTCTTCCACAAACTCGGACAAACAGCCGCCACCACCAACACAAGTAGCCAAAACAACTGCCTCAGAATCCAAAAGATATGATGAGAAAGGAACTACTAGAATCATTGAGGAGGATGGGGAACCAGCAGTTTCCACAAGCTTGACTCGCAACAGCACGGTCCTCCTCCAACTGATAGCATGTGGAGGAGGTGGGATAGCAGCTCCCCAGGACAAGGCCAAGGACAAACCCAAACCCAATGTTGGGAGCAACAGAAACTTTAACTTCAGCATGAAGAGTAGTTTTATGCCATGCTTGAAGCAGCAACTAAGTACTCGAGCTGTGAGTACAAGTAATAAGGCGATTCCTCTACGTGTTAAAGCAGGAGCAACAGGAAATGAACAACCACCCTGCAGCATTAATCAGGAAGTGAGTAAGGAATGTGAAGACGAAGATATGATGATGGTAAGGTACATGTCTGAAAATCCCCGGTTTGGAAATTTACAATCAGAAGAGAAGGAATACTTCAGTGGTACCATCGTCGAGGCCATGAGTACTCATCATCAGCATACTCATTCTTCGGGCTCTGCCTCTAGTTACCCTCACCTCCCTCCTGTCTTCACCAAGTCTTCCTCCTACAACGAGCAAAGGTATGTATATTAAATTAAGCATATGATCAGTTTGTTACAATAATGTTAACTATTTTTTGTTCAATGTGTTTACAATTTGGTTGTACCTTACAGGAGCTGTAAGGCAGGACTACAAGCAGAAGCATCAGTAGCCGACATTGATGATGAGAAAGAAGACGCGAAAGTGAAAGGGTTTATCAAATTATGTATTCCTAGAAAGAAAAGTTTTTCTTCCACTGCTACCAAACATAATGCATAAGTTATGAGTTTATGAATCTCCCCCTCCCTTGTCAAACAACACATCAGGTGTACTAGTTAGTTCCTTAAGTTGTTGTAGCAGCCTAGCAGGTGTAACATACTAAATGTCAGAGCAATGTTTTTCTTAGGAAAGTAGGAAACTGGCTAAATGTTCGGCAATATTTTTGCAAACATAAACCTTATTACAAATCACAGGATCTAAAACTAAAGATTAGTAGAAGCATACATAATTAAGTAATTGGCTAATTGGGCCAAAGTTTTGGCAAAAAAGCATCTTTTGAGCGGGCTTTTGATGATCTAGCATATGTGAAACTATACAATCAGCCCACATTGTAAACAAACATTCTATAGCCCAATGTGGTTGCTTGTGATGAATCCGAAGATAATTGCTCCCTCCGTATTATAATAATTTCAAATTTTATACCATCATCTATTTAAGGTCAAGATTTGATCATATAACTATATAAGTTTAATTACTCGTATGTGCAAATGCAAATACTCGGTATGAATGTTATAAATCAGATCTGTGCTCTTGTTAGATTTGTTAGTATAATTTCTATATACGAGTATTAATTTTTCCTAATAGATTGTAAAAAGTCAAACAATGAAGGTAATTTTAAAACAAATGGAAATTTTATAGAGTTACAAAAAAAAAAAAAAAAAAACAAATGGTACTATTATAAGGACGACAACACATGAATTGTCAAATTTGTCATTGAAAGTAATGAAAGTTTATAGAGTGAAGACCGTCCACTTTCTTCTGTCTGAAGTCTGAACACTAATCAGAAAAATAATACTCCAAGATCCAAAGTCAACGGCATAAAAGGACTTATAGAAAGTTAGAATTGAGATCTGCGCCTAGTTTTTATCAATTGGGCTTTTTTAAAATGAGATTGACATACTTAAGCACTACTTCAGCTCACTAATTTTAGTTGTAAATGGTACTTTAAGGAATAAGGGTGAGGGACAAAACAATATCCGTTCTATACTAAGAATTTACTGTAGTATTATAAAATTAGTTTGTACATGTAGTAAAAATAAGCAAGAAGAGACAGAAGCGAAGTAGAGGGCGGGAGAGTAGGAAGCGGCGAGCAATACGGTTAAATTGGTTAAACTCTGATTCACATTATTCTCATTTGAATCATAAAGTCATTAAAGAAGCAGCACCTTCCTATTGCATCAGTGATCAGCACCCCCATGTGATTGCATGCCACAACTCACTCATCTAAGCTACTTCCCAATCTACCACTATATATCTACTTGTATTTCTATACATCATCTTACTTTCACCTCTTTTCAAATTCCTTCTACTTTTCTCTTACATATTGTGTGTCCATATAATTGTGAAGATGTCCAAGTTGGGGTTGCTCCTACTCGTTGCACTAGCCACTTTAGCAGCTACCACTGTGGCACTCGATACGCCTTACCAGCTCTCCGGTAGAGTCTACTGTGACACTTGCCATTTTGGTTTCGAGACTAACGTTACTAGATACATTCCTGGTAAACCCTTATTACCTTTCTATCCATTCCCTAATCCGTCTTTTAGAACATATTCTTACATGCACTCGAGTGTACATAAAAGTAGATGTAGAACACTCAGGTGCATAAAAGTGTTTTTTTTTCATCATCAGTTTTTTTTTTTTTTTTTTTATAAAAGTATTTGATAAATAACTGTTGATGACAAAATGACAGGAGCGGAAGTGCACCTAGAATGCAAGGATGAAAAATCGGATACAAAGTTGGTTTTCCGTGACGCAACCAAGACAAACGAGAGGGGAAGGTTCACCTTCCACGTAGGCGAGGACCACGGTGATCAGTACTGTGATGTAGTCCTAGTGAAGAGCCCTTGGCCACACTGCAAGAACATCGATCCAGTCCGAGGCCGATCTCGAGTTATTATTACAGACCTTAACGGCATCAGGTCTTTCCGTCGTCATGCCAACAACATGGGTTTCTTCCAGGATTACGTCTTTCCAGTTTGTAGCGACCTTTACAAGTTCTACTTCCATTCGGATGACATGTAAGAAGCCAAAGCCAGTAACATCAAAAAAACATAAGAAACCAGAGTTTTTTTATTTTTATTTTATATTTCGTTTTGAATAAAAATATATAAAAATTCTTGTACGTTCAAAAGAAACAAAAAAAAGAAAATTTAACTAAGCTAGATTCTGAAGAGAAAAGGTGACAAATGAACCAATCTTCTCATTGGTTTAAATTTATCCTATCTCCATAATTAGTGTACTCAACATACAATTAGTAATGCATTATTACTTTTATTAGTCTACTGCTATTCTGCTAGTCAGTACTCAGTAGTCGTTTAATGAATATATAGGTACTTTAATTGTGTTTGCTCATAAAATTTAAGGGTTGTAATGCTAATTCATACGTACACTTGATTAATTGCGCTTGAATTAGGTTTCGAATGTGTGATTAGTGTTATAGAATTTTTGTTGGTTGGATAAGCTGATTAACTGATCCAGGGTAGCAAATAACTAATTCAATAGAATACATATACATGTAGATGTGCGTGCGTGTTACATATTGCATAGTCACGTCTTTATAATGACAAATAATCACCATTAGACTTTTAATCAAAGAAAACACCGACTTTATACTATTAATAGACCTAATATAATGGTGTTCTGCTATTTCACATTGGATAAGAGATGCAAATAATTTGACAAACCTATTTCACTTTGAATTATAATCTGACTTGAGATGATTTAAAATTCTAAATTAACTACTTGGATTGGACTTTTTAGCACATTTTGACTGGAAATCTTGTGTTGATGTCATAAATTGATCCAGTTGGACAATGGCAACCTTCAGCTACCTTAGAAAGTTAGAAGGTTGCTTGACATTTCTCTTGTTATTTTTCTTCCATTATAAGGGTTGAAAAGCTAATTGTTTTGGGGATTGGTGGTGCTAATATATGATATAAAAATTTGAAAATTAAACACGTATCTAAATTTTATACTCTTAATTTAATAATAAAAATTAGACATTCACAGACTACACTGATAACACCTAATATGTTGAATACAATGATAAAAATAGACTGGACTAAGGGCCTATTCTAAATTACTGATTGGAGTTGAATTGAACTGAACTTTAATTAAGTTGAACTGAACATACCCTTAATACTAACAAAAAGATGTTCAATGATGTCTAAAAATTCAGGTGCCCAATTTGCCTATCATTGGGACAATGATCCGTATTTCTTTAATCCATATAATTATACTTTTATTGTATTGTACTCCGTAACTCATACTGTACTTCGTAGTTTGTATAATTTTTGTAGTATCTAAAAAAAAAAAATCAGGATCCCGAAACCCATGGCGGGAAATTCTGAATGCAGGTCACCCCCTCTCCCCTCAACTCATTCGGAAGCCATTGCCTTTGCGGCAGAGATAAGACAGAGAAATCATTTTTTCGGTAATAACATTTTCAAAGAATCAACAAATTACAGGAAATTTTTCATTTTTTCCATAATTTTCAATTTCAAACAATCAAGATCATTTTTTTTTTTAAATCATCTGAATCTCAATTTCCAACATTATTTTATACATTTTGAGTCCAGACAATTCATTTATGTATTACTACATTGTTGATCCAACTTGAAATATTATCATTATTATTAATAAAAAATTAAAAATGTCAAAAACAAGTCCTGCAGAAAATTCATCCACCTCTCCAACCTCCTCCTCTAATGATAACTCGTTTTCTTCCGTCGATAAACCTGTCAAGACATTCAAGAAAAAAAAGGTTCTTTCTTTTTCCAACTTTTTTTTAATCTAATTTTATTGAATTTCTTGTAATTTTATCTTTGTAATAATTTATTTTTTTGGTGGTGGGGGCATTAGTCCATAATACCAAAGATTTTCACCTCCAAGAAAAATGGCAAAATATCAGATGAAGAAGTTTCTGAATCAGGTCAATCAATCCACATCCTTTTGTTCTTTTAACTTCATCTTAATTTCTATCGGTTTGTAATGTACACCTTTAATCATTAAATTTTCACGTGTCAACTTAATATTGTTGTTTACGTACTTGTGTTAAGTATTAATTCCGTCAAAAAGTTACTCTGTAAATGATAAAAAACAAAAATTGCTTTGTATTGTAAGTCAATATAATACGTACATATATTTTTCTTGTACAATTTTGCTTGTATTAATAAGAAATTAGCCTATTTTACAGAAAGTGACAAAAAAATTGGTGAAAGAAAAAAGGCTTTCCTAGACGACTCTCGATTGATAAGAAAGAGTTTCTCAGGTGGGCCTTCTTATCATTTACGTATAGCTTTAAATCATTACGAGTATATGTTTTTAGTCTACAAAATAAATTTCTTGTCTTATGTAAATACGAAGTATAAATATGTAATGAATTAGTCAAACTTTATTTGAACAATATATATTTCCAGTTCATAATGTTATAGTCTTTGATTAGCTAACCTACTAGATACCAATTTTCCATATTGCGGCCCAACCAGGCATTAATATGTTTGAGGAAGAAGCAAAATGAGTAATGTCAAACGTGCTAAAATTGGTTTGCCATATAAAATCAAAAACTGAAATATATGACATTGCGAAATCAAATTATTGTACAAAATTGTTCTTGTTAACAGTTAACTTTACTAAAGTCTAATGTTTTTGTGGTGTACTAAAATGTGTAATAAATTTTCAGAAAGAAAGACTAATTCACATATTGAAGGGTTGGATTTGTCCAATTTTGATTCGTCTTTGGCATCAGTAGCACCTGTTACGGACAGCATAGATTATCGGTATGCATATATTTTCCTTATAATCTTATTGTTATGTATTTTAATCCTCCTCACTTGTTGAATTAGTTGCTTTGGATTGGATTTTGTAGGATATTTGTGGGAACTTGGAATGTAGGTGGGAGGACTCCAAATAATGAGCTTAACCTCGACGATTTCTTGCAGGTTGAAAGCTCTTCAGATATATATGTAGTTGGGTATGATTCTCTAGCTAATCTCCTTTCTAATGTGCCTAAATAGCAGCTTGTATGTCATTGTTTTATTCGAGGGATTGGTTAATCTCTGAGTTTTGTGAATATTGTCATGTCTAATTACAACAATATGAGTTTATGTGATTCTATTTAATTTTGCCATATAATAAAATTGTACTCTTTTCTTTCAGATTTCAGGAAATAGTACCTTTAAATGCAGGCAATGTTTTGGTGGAGGATAATGAACCTGCAGCAAGATGGCTAGCCTTAATAAACACAACATTAAATCGGAAAAATTATGATTCCTTGCATTCCCCGGGAGATTCAACTCATCCAAGCCCAAACACGAAAGCATCCAAGGACTCGAAATCCAACTTCTTTCAGAAGCCTAATCTGAAAGTTCTTAGTAAGAATTTCAGAGTAGACAGCAGCCTTGTTAAGACCTGTAATTGCTGTTTTGATTCAGTGACAGTACTTCCAGAAAGGCATAGACCACGGCGTATACATGACAATCCTTTCCAAACTCGTTACACAAGTAGCATGGAAGAATTATGTTCAATTGTTCCAGAATTACCTGCTGTCCCTGGTCTTAATGAATATAATCTCATTTCAAGCAAGCAAATGGTTGGCCTCTTTCTTTCGGTTTGGGCTCGAAAAGAATTAGTTCCATATATTGGGCATGTCAGAGTATCTACAATGGGCACCGGAATAATGGGCTATCTAGGGAACAAGGTACACTTTGTTTACATATAAAAAGCCTTAGTCTTAATTACTAAGTTTGCATTCGGAACAAATATACTACATACCGTCTTAAACAAATTTGTGAATCGATGTAATGACTTGTGTTGGATGATTTATGTGCAGGGATGTATATCAATAAGCATGACACTCCACAAAACTAGCTTGTGTTTTGTATGTTCTCATTTGGCTTCCGGTCAAAAGGAGGGAGATGAGCTTAGGAGGAATGCAGATGTATCTGATATATTAAAAGGGATGCAATTCCCAAAGATATGCAAGAAATCCGAAAAAAAGGCACCTGAGAAGATCATTGATCATGAGTATGCTTGTATTTACCTACTTTTCATATAAGCTTATTTAGCTCAATGTATACAACTCATTCACAACTTGATGTATAATATAAGATTGAATTGATTGCAGTCGAGTCCTTTGGTTTGGAGATCTTAACTATCGCGTGTCTTTGCCTTATGAAGAAGCTAGGCTTCTCCTAGAGGACAATGATTGGGATACCCTCCTCGAGAAAGATCAGGTTTGTGATCCTCCCATTTTAATTAATCAGATATTGTTCAATTCCTATTTCTTGAATAAAAATTACAAAATTGCTGTCTGTTACTCTGCGTTACATAATTAGTGTGACTTATATGCAGCTGATCCTAGAGAGAGATTCGGGTAGAGTGTTTAGTGGATGGAAAGAAGGACGAGTAATGTTTGCACCTACATATAAGTACACTCAAAATTCAGACATGTACGCGGGAGAGACTGCAAAATCCAAAAAGAAACGGCGAACCCCTGCCTGGTGTGACAGGATATTATGGCATGGACAAGGAATTAAACAATTGCACTATGCAAGAGGAGAATCGAGGTTTTCAGATCATCGGCCTGTATGTGCCGTGTTCTCTGTAGATGTGGAGGTGAAACGTAAAATAGGCACAAAATATAGGAAAGGTCATTCTTGCACTGGCTCCAGATTAAGTGAGTCTATGCCTCAACGTACAGTTTTTATGAGTACTGAATTCTAAGTTCTAACCACAATATAACAATCTTTTTTTTTTTTTTGTAAAGTTCATTAGATCATTCTTGTTGTAATTACTGAGAAAGTACAGCAGCAATAGCAATCTAAAATTTTGATATAGTTACACTAGTTTTATGTTAGTCTGACTGTACTAATAATTACTTTAATTTTTTCATTTCAGTTATAATAACTTGAAATTGAGTGTAGTTTAAAATGAAATAATTCGTAACAACTTTCTATATGTGTTTTTTTTTTTTTTTTTTCCTTTTTGCTAACTTTAAAATTAAAGGATTAGGAAGAAAAAAAAACTTTTAATAGGTGAAAAAATAAAAAGAATGCATAAAAAGAAGTTGGATTCACTTTGGGCCGCTCCAAAGTGTAAAGGCACCTCACTTGATTGATTACATATGCTGATTGCGCGGACTTCTAGTGGCTAACTGGCTACTAATGGAAAATGCTACACATAGAATCAGAGCTGTCAATTCGGGTAAACGGGTCGGGTTTGGGTCGGGTAAGAGCAGGTCGGGTTAACTTGGGTCGGGTCAATTCAGATTAATTTTATAACCTATGCGAGTCGGGTTTGGGTTGGGTCATGCTTGAGTCGGGTCACGTCGGATCATACTTCTTATCGGGTTTGGGTCGGGTTTAGGTCGAGTTAATAATAGGTCGGGTCACATTCGGGTCGAGTGAACAATAAGTCGGGTTTAATTTGTGTTTTCACGGGTTAAAACGAGTTAGGGTAATTCTCGGGTTCGGTTTAAGTCAATAATTTGCGGGTTAAAATCAGGTCAGGTCATTCTCGGGTTTGAGTCGGGTAAGGTTCAAGTCAATAATTTGCGGATTATAATCAGGAAGAGCCATTTTCAAGACGGGTCATTCTCAGGTTCAAGTCGGGTTTAATTAATCAATTTCAAGACGGGTCATTCTCGGGTCCGAGACAAAATGCTTTGATCAACAATAATAAGGTGGTCTTAATTGCATTTAAGGTGATTTGAAATCGGGTCAGGAACAATTTGGGTTGAATTTAGGTCGGGTCAATAACAAGTCGTGTTAATTTCGAGTCAGGTTAGTAACAGATCGGGTTGAATTTTTGGGTTGGGTAAGTAATAGGTGCGGTAAAATTCGGGTCAGGTCAATAACAAGCCGGGTTGAATTTGAGTCAGGTCAATAACAAGTCGGGTTGATTTCGGGTCGGGTTTGTAACAGGTTGGGTTAAGTTCAGGTCAGGTTGAATTCAGGTTAGTATAATAACAAGTCGGGTTAAATTCGGGTTTTGATGGGTTAAAACGGGTTTGGGTCGGTTCAAGTCGGGTTCGGTGCAAGTTAATTAAATTAACCGTTGTAAACCGGGTAAATCGGTGAAAGTTGTAAACCGGTAAATTGACAGTTTAAAAGCAAATTGAATGGTTCCACACACCCAATTGGAACTCCCAAAGGTTATTAGCGACCATGCTAAACATTTCAGCAATTTTTATTTCCGGGCGAAAAAAGTCAAAAAATTCCAAAATTGAAGGCTAATATCCATGTTTTTTGAGAAATTTTGGAGGTTACGAGGCCCGGAGTCAAAAAATCTTGAAATTCTATGGAATACATCTCGAGGTCATATAATGCCGTTTGGAACCATATATGATCATTATTTATTGTCATAAATGTTCGTGGTAGGCTTGAATTAATGAAATCGGTGCAAGTTGTAAACCGGTAAATTGGTCGTTTTAAGGCAAACTAGATGGTTCCACCCACTCAATTGGACTCCCAAAGAGTATTAGGGACCATGGTAAACATTTCGACAATTTTTATTTTCGGGCGAAAAAAAATCAAAAAATCTCAAATTGAAGACTATACACGCTTTTTGAGAAACTTTAGAGGTTTCGGGGCCCAGTGTAGAAAATTATTAATACTTTAGGGGATACATCTCGGGGTCATATAATGTCGTTTGGAACCGTATATGATCATTATATGTTGTCATAAATGTTCGTAATAGGCTTGAGTTAAAGAAATCCGTATAAGTTGTAAACCGATAATTAAATTGGTCGTTTAAAGGCAATTGGATGGTTCCACCTACAAAATTGGAATCCCAGAGGATATTAGGGACCATGGTAAGCCTTTTGGAAATTTTTATTTACGGGCGAAAAAAAATTCAAAAAATTCAAAAATTAAAGGCTAATATCCATATTTTTTGAGAAATTTTGGAGTCTTTAGGGCCCGGTGTCTAAAATTCTCGAAATTCTAGGGAATACATCTCAGGGCCATATAATTTTGTTTGGAACCATATGTGATCATTATTTGTTGTCATAAATGTTCGTTGTAGGCTTGAATTAATGAAATCGGTGCAAGTATTAAACAGGTAAATTGGTCGTCTAAAGGAAAATTAGATGGTTCCACCCATCCAATTTGACCCCCGGAGAGTATTAGGGACCATGGTAAATATTTCGGCAATTCTTATTTCCGGGCTAAAAAAAGTCAAAAAATTCTTAAATTGAAAGCTAATATCCACGCTTTTTTAGAAATTTCGAAGGTTTCGGGGCCTGGTGTTGAAAAGAAATAAGATTATATTAGATACATCTCGGGGTCATATAATGACATTTGAAACCATAAATGACCATTATATGTTGTCATAAATGTTCATGGTAGGTAGAGTTGTCAAAAGTAGACCCAACCCGAAATACCGATCCGAACCCGATTATTAACCGACCCGTCTGAACCCGAAAAAATGGTGACCCGAACTCGACTAACCAACTGTAGACCTGAGTCGACCCAAGTATTTGAGACCCAAACCCGAACATGAACCGACCTAGAGACGACACGACCCGAATGTAACCCGTAATTATTGACTTGAACCAAACCCGACCTGAATCGAAATTGACCCAAACCCGTTTTAACCTGTCAAAACCCTGATTTAACCCGACATGTTATTAACCCAATCCGAATTAGACCCGGCCTGTTCCTAACCCTACCTTATTATTGTTGATCAAAGCATTTTGTCTAGGGAAACCAAGTCGGTCCAGACCATCAAAAGAAAGGAGCATCATCCCAAATTTAAAAGTTAAATATAGTATAAATTTGTTGTATGGTTAACGGAGATAATTATCTTCCTAAATTATAAGCTATAGTTGCTTAGTATGTTTCCATATATATTATAGTCAAAGGAAATAATTAACTTGATAAAAATGATAATTATCTATTTATACTTAGTTAAACTCGAATATGATCCGACTTGATTGTAACCTGCAAATTATTGGCTTGAACATAACCCGACTTGAACCCGAAAATGACTCGTCTTGGAAATGACCCAACCTGATTATAGCCCGCAAATTATTGAGTTGAACCAAACCCGAGAATGACTTGACTTGGAATTAACCCGACCTGATTATAACCCGCAAATTATTGACTTGAACCAAACCGAATTGACAGTTTAAATGCAAATTGAATGGTTCCACACACCCAATTGGACTCCCAAAGGGTATTAGGAACCATGCTAAACATTTAAGCAATTTTTATTTTCGGGCGATAAAAAGTCAAAAAAATCCAAAATTGAAGGCTAATAACCATGTCTTTGGAGAAATTTTGGAGGTTTCAGGGCCCAGTGTTGAAAAAACTTGAAATTTTATGGGATACATCTCGGGGTCATATAATGACGTTTGGAACCATATATGATCATTATTTGTTGTCATAAATGTTTGTGGTAGGCTTGAATTAATGAAATCGGTGCAAGTTGTAAACCGGTAAATTGGTCGTTTAAAGGCAAATTGGATGGTTTCACCCACTCAATTAGACACCCGGAGAGTATTAGAGACCATGGTAAATATTTCGACAATTTTTATTTTCATGCGAAAAAAAAAATCAAAAATCTCAAAATTAAAGGCTAATATCTACTACGCTTTTTGAGAAATTTTGGAGGTTTCGAGGCCCGTGTAGAAAAAAATTAATACTTTATGGGATACATCTAGGGGTCATATAATGCCGTTTGGAATCATTTTATGTTGTCATAAATGTTCGTAATAGGCTTGAGTTAATAAAATTCGTGCAAATTGTAAATCGGTATCTAAATTGGTCGTTTATTTAAAGGCAAATTGGATGGTTTCACCAACCCAATTGGACTCCCCGCGTGTATTAGGGACCACGATAAAAATTTCGGCAATTTTTATTTTTTGGGTGAAAAAAAGTTAAAAAATTCCAAAATTGAAGACTAATATCCTCGTTTTTCGAGAAATTTTTGGGGTTTCGGGGCCCGGTGTCGAAAAGTCTTGAAATTTTAGGAGATACATCTCGGGGTCATATAATGTTGTTTTGAATCATATAAGATCATTATTTGTTGTCATAAATGTTAGTGGTAGGCTTGAGTTAATGAAATCGGTGCAAGTTGTAAATCAGTAAATTGGTCGTTTAAAGGCAAATTGAATGGTTCCACCCACCCAATTGGACTCCCGGATGGTATTAGGGACCATGGTAAATATTTTGGAAATTTTATTTTTGAACGAAAAAAAGTCAAAAAATTCCAAAATTGAAGGCTAAGTTCCATGCTTTTTGAGAAATTTTGAAGGTTTCGAGGCCCGATGTCGAAAAGTCTTGAAATTTTAGGGGATATATCTCGCGGTCATATAATACAATTTAGAACCATTTATGATCATTATATGTTGTCATAAATGTTCGTGGTAGCCTTAATTTAATGAAATCGGTGCAAGTTGTAAACCAATAAGTTAGCCGTTTAAAGGCAAATTGGATGGTTCTACCCAACCAATTCGACTCCCGGAGGGTATTGGGCATCATGGTAAACTTTTCCACAATTGGACGTTTAAAGGAAAATTGGATGGATACACCCACCCAATTAGACTCCCGGGGGGTATTAGGGATCATGGTAAATATTTCGACAATTTTTATTTCCGAAGAAAAAAAGCCAATAAATTCCAAAATTGAAAACTTATATCCACTCTTTTTGAGAAATTTTTGAGGTTGGGTACGGTATCGAAAAATCTTGAGATTTTAGGGAATACATATCGGGGTCATATAATACCGTTTGGAATCATATATGATCATTATATGTTGTCATCAATATTCGTGGTAGGCTTGAGTTAATGAAATCGGTGTAAATTGTAAATCGGTAAATTGACCATTTAAAATGAAAATTAGATGGTTCCACCCACCCAATTGGACTTCTGGAGCGTATTAGTGACCATGGTAAACATTTCGGAAATTTTTATTTTCGGGCGAAAAAAAAGTTAAAAATTTCTAAAATTGAAGTCCTATATCCATGCGTTTTGAGAAATTTGGAGGTTTTGGGTCCCTGAGTCGAAAAGTCTTGAAATTTTAGGGAATAAATTTCGGGGTCATATAATGTTGTTTGGAACCATATATGATCATTATTTGTTGTCATAAATGTACGTGGTTGGCTTGAGTTAATAAAATCAATGCAAATTGTAAACCGGTAAATCGGCTATTTAAAGACAAATTGGATGGTTCCACCCAGCCACGTGTACTCCCGAATGGTATTAGGGACCAATGTAAACATTACGACAATTTTTATTTTCGCGCGAAAAAAAAGTCAAAAAATTCCAAAATTGAAGTCTAATATCCACGCATTTTGCGAAATTTTGAAGGTTTCGGGGCCCGGTGTCGAAAAGTATTGAAATTATAGGGAATACATCTCAGGGTCATATAATGCCGTTTGGAAACATATATGATCATTATATGTTATCATAAATGTTCGTGGTAGGCTTGAGTTAATAAAATCAGTGCAAGTTGTAAACCGATAATTTGGTTATTTAAAGGAAAATTTGATAGTTCCACCCACCCAATTGGACACCCGGAGTGTATTAGGGACCATGGTAAACATTTCGGAATAAGTAAAAAAATTCCATAATTGAAAGCTAATATCCACGCTTTTTGAGTAATTTTGGAGGTTTCGGGGCCCGGTGTCTAAAAGCCTTTAGAATTCGGTGATACATCTCGGGGTCATATAAAACTGTTTGGAACCGTATATGATCACTGTGTGTTGTCATAAATGTTCTTGATAGGCTTGAGTTAATGAAATCGGTGCAAGTTGTAAACCGGTAAATTAACCGTTTAAAGGCAAATTGGATGGTTCTACCCATCCAATTGGCCTCCCGAAGGGTATTAGGGACAGTGGTGAACATTTCGGCAATTTTTATTTGCGGGCGAAAAAAAAAGTAAAAAAATTCCAAAATTACAGTCTAAGATCCATGCTTGTTGAGAAATTTTAGAGATTTCGAGACCCGGTGTTGAAAAGCCTTTAAATTCTAAGATTACATCTCAGGGTCATATATTGACGCTTTGAACCATATATGATCATTATATGTTATCATAAATGTTCGTGGTAAACATGAGTTAATAAAATCGGTGCAAGTTGTAAACTGGTAAATAGGTCGTTTAAGGGCAAATTGGATGGTTTCACCTACACAATTGGACTCCAGGAGGGTTTTAGGGACCATGGTAAGCATTTCGTAAATTTTATTTACAGACAAAAAAAATTCAAAAATTGAAGGCTAATATCCACACTTTTTGAGAAATTTTGGAGTCTTTAGGGCCCGGTGTCTAAAAGTCTCGAAATTTCAGGGAATACATCTCGGAGTCCTAATGTCGTTTGGAACCATATGTGATCATTATTTGTTGTCACAAATGTTCTTTGTAGCCTTGAGTTAATGAAATCGGTGCAAGTATTAAACCGATAAATTGGTCGTTTAAAGGAAAATTGGATGGTTCCACCCACCCAATTTGACCCCCGGAGAGTATTAGGGACCATGGTAAATATTTCGGCAATTTTTTTTTTTCTGGGCGAAAATAGTCAAAAAATTCCTAAATTGAAGGCTAATATCCACGCTTTTTTAGAAATTTCGAAGGTTTTGGGGTCAGGTGTTGAAAAGAAATAAGATTTTATTAGATATATCTCGGGATCAAATAATGACGTTTGAAACCATAAATGACCATTATAAGTTGTCATAAATGTTTGTGGTAGACTAGTAGGTTTGAGTTAATGAAATCAGTGCAAGTTGTAAACCGGTAAATAGGCCGTTTAAATGCAAATTGGATGGTTCCACCCATCTAATTGGACTACCGGAGGGTATTTGAAACCATGGTAAACATTTCAACAATTTTTATTTTCGGACGAAAATATGTCAAAAAATTCAAAAATTGAAGGCTTATATCCACCCTTTTTGAGAAATTTTGGAGGTTTCTCGGCGTCGAAAAGTTTTGAAATTCTAGGGGATATATCTCAGGGTCATATAATGCTGTTTGGAACCGTATATGATCATTGGTTGTTGTTATAATGTTCGTGGTAGACTTGAATTAATGAAATCGTTGCAAGTTGTAAACCGGTAAATTGGCAATTTAAAGGAAAATTAGATAGTTTCACCCACCCAATTGGACTCCCAGAGTGTATTAGGGACCATGGTAAATATTTACGGGAGAAAAAAGTAAAAAAATTCCAAATTTGAAGACTAATATTGTAATACCCCCAAATTACTCTTTAATATTTACAATAATAATAATCCAACTTTAGGGAGTAACATGGGAGTATTACCGCCACGTGATTACGTAAGGCTTAACAGAGATTTGCAGCGGAAGAAAATACTTGTCATTTAATAATAATAATAATAATAGTTCAAGAATTTCTAAAGTAACACAACACTGATACTATGTCTACTAAATTTAACTAGGTGATCACCGCCCATTGTCCCCAATGCAGCATTTAATTCACGTCTTCTGATCGCCATCACCTATCTACTCATCATTAATGATAAGTAGGGCCAATCCAAAACAAAAGAGAAATACGTATTAGCCAAAATGCTAAGTACATACAAATGCTAAACATGTAAAATCAATTTAGTTCATTAAACATGCTTTCAAAAGTTTCGACTTTAATCAATCACAATTGATTTAAACCACTCGTGAATATAAATTCATATATTAAAATATATCAATTTCCGAAATCAATAATTTTCCAAAAATAGTCTAAGACAAGCATGGATAGATCCAATCCTCATTTCACAAATCATTTTTCCACCTAAGTGTGCACACCCCCTCAAGCTAGTAACTCCTTACATAGTGCTATCAAGGGGAAAGACTAGGTCATACATAGTCCATAGTCTTCAATTTTATCTCCACATAGTGGGAGTCATAAAAATCCAATATATATCTTTGATAAATCAACCTTCCAATTCCCATGTATGGGATTTCAACAACATTTGCTCTTTAAAATGAATTTGAAGTTAAGTATGTGCATAAACAGCTTTTAGAACATTGAAATTATTTCCAAAGATCAAACAGTAAAACATTTCACAATATTCATTTCATAAACATTCATAAATCCTTGTTCAACATTCAAACATATTTCATCATTCAAAACACAAAACACATTTGTATAAAATCACATATTTAAAGATCTAGCCACGAGTACGTACCTCGATCTTTTGCAACAAACACAAATTTTTTAATCTCGAACTTGCAATTCCCCCTACAAGGAACCAATAATCCTAAATCAAAAACTCTTCAACCCATGAACATTAAACCATTAAATAACGACCCTATACTAGTTGTGCATGAACAATTATATTGACTCTTTACAACTATTCACCTAGATTTACTACCATGAATTATCTCCTAAATAAACATTATATGGAGTAATAAAAATCAAATATAAAACCTTATAATAAAAAAAATTGAAAATAAATATTAGTTTTAGAATACTAACCGCAAAACAATCTAAAGTAGAAAGGTCCACGTTGAAAGGGAGGAGTCAGATCTTGCAGAGGCCATATCTCATAGTATATAGCTCCAAACTGGGTGATTCTTAAGCCTAACCTCAAGGATTTTTCAAGAAGAACAACTTTGTCTCAAATATCAAAACGCTAAAAATGAACAGAAGTGGATGAAAAATGGCCTGGAACATATACGGGATGAAGAAGTACGAAAATGGGAGGAAGAGAGAAGAAAGAAGGATGGAACTTTAAGGGCAAGAGACTTTTGGCTTAAAATGGCTGAACTTTGGATCCTATTTATAGAGTTTGAGAGTTCTATTGACATCATGTATGATGTCAACAACTTGGGGGTCAAGGAAGTTTATGAGGTCATGTTATTGACATCATGTATGATGTCAACAACTTGGAGGCCAAGTATTCAAGTTTGTAAGAGAAGTTTGTGACTTTGGTCATGCTTTAGGAGTAAGAAATGGACTTGGGTCCTTTGACTTGGAGCAAAGAAATACTCAAAGTAAAAATATGATTTTCGAGTATTACATTTCCGGCTTAACTCATACGTATAAAATATTTTATAAATGTAATTATTATTTCCGTAAAATTATATATTGATAAGTTAAATAATGCTATTGTATTATCTAAATACATATTTATATTTTTAAAATAATTTGGAAGGAAATCGAACATTATTAAATTAATAAATTTGATTAATATAATTAAACGGGTTTAAAATATGGGGTATTACAAATATCCACGGTTTTTGAGAAATTTCGAATGTTTCAGGCTCGATGTCAAAAAGCATTGAGATTTTAGGGATTACATCTCGGGGTCATATAATGCCGTTTGGAACCATATATGATCATTATTTTTTATTATAAGTGTTCGTGGTAGGCTTGGGTTAATGAAATTGTTGCAAGTTGTAAACCGATAAATTGGTCGTTTTATAGGCAAATTGGATGGTACCACTCACCCATTTGGACTCCAGGAGGGTATTAGGGATCATGGTAAATATTTTGGCAATTTTTATTTCCGGGGGAAAAAAATCATTAAATTCCAAAATTAAAAGCTAATATCCACTCTTTTTAAGTAATTTCGAAAGTTTCTGGCCCGGTGTCGAACAACCTTGAAATTTTAGGATTACATCTCAGGGTTATATAATGCCGTTTGGAACCATATATGATCATTATATATTGTCATAAATATTCGTGGTAAGATTGAGTTAATGAAATCGGTGCAAATTGTAAACCGGCAAATTGGTCGTTTAAAGACAAATTGGATGGTTCTACCCAATTAATTGGAATCCCGGAGGGTATTAGGGACTATGGTAAACATTTTGTCAATTTTTATTTCAAGGTGAAAAAAAGTCAAAAAAATTCCAAAATTAAATGCTAATATCCACACATTTTGAGAAATTTTAGAGGTTTCGGGGCACGGTGTCGAAAAGTTTTGAAATTCTAGGGGATATATATCGGGGTCATATAATGTTATATGGAACTATATATGATCATTATTTGTTGTTATAAATGTTCGTGGTAGGCTTGATTTAATGAAATCGTTGCAAGTTTTAAACCGGTAAATTGGCTGTTTAAAGGCAAATTGGATGGTTTCACCAACCTAATTGGACTCCCGGAGAGTATTAGGGACCATGGTAATTATTTCGGCAATTTTTATTTCCGGGGAGAAAAAAAGTCAAAAAATTCCAAAATTAAAGGCTAATATCCACGATTATTGATAAATTTCGAATGTTTCGGGCCCGGTGTCAAAAAGCCTTGAAATTTTAGGACTAAACCTCAGGGTCATATAATGCCGCTTGTAACCATATATCATCATTATATGTTGTCATAAATGTTTCTGGTAAGCTTAAGTCAATGAAATCGATGCAAGTTGTAAACCGGTAAATTGGTCGTTTTAAGGCAAATTGGATGGTTCTACCCAACCAATTAGACTCCCGGAGGGTATTAGGGACCATGGTTAATATTTCGGCAATTTTTATTTTCAAGTGAAAAAAGTCAAAAAATTCCAAAATTAAAGGCTAATATCCACCCTTTTTGATAAATTTTTGAGGTTTCGGTGCCCGGTGTCGAAAAGTTTTTAAATTATAGGGGATATATCTCGGAGTCATATAATGCCGTTTAAAACCATCTATGATCATTATTTGTTGTTATAAATGTTCGTGGTAGGCTTGAGTTAATGAAATCGTTGCAAGTTGTAAACCGGTAAATTGGCCGTTTAAGGGCAAATTAGATAGTTCCACCCACCTAATTGGACTCCCGGAGTGTATTAGGGACCATGGTAAACATTTTGGCAATTATTATTTCCGGGCCAAAAAAAAGTCAAAAAATTCAAAAATTGAAGGCTAATATCCACGGTTTTTGAGAAATTTCGAATGTTTTAGGGCCCGGTGTCGAAAAGCACTGAGATTTTAGGGGTTACATTTTGGGGTCATATAATTCCGTTTGGAACTATATATGATCATTATTTGTTGTTATAAATGTTAGTGGTAGGCTTGAGTTAATGAAATCGTTGCAAGTTGTAAACAGGTAAATTGGCCGTTTAAAGGCAAATTGGATGGTTCCACCCACACAATTGGACTCATGGAGGGTATCAGGGACCATGGTAAATATTTTGGCAATTTTTATTTCCGGGCGAAAAAAAGTCTAAAAATTCCAAAAAATGAAGGCTTTATCCACGTTTTTTGAGAAATTTCGAATGATTCGGGTCCGGTGTCGAAAATCCTTTAAATTTTAGGATTACATATTAGTTTCATATAATGCCGTTGGGAACCATATATGATTATTGTATGTTGTCATAAATGTTCGTGGTAAGCTTGAGTTAATGAAATCGGTGCAAATTGTAAACCGGTAAATTGGTTGTTTAAAGGCAAATTGGATGGTTCTACACAACCAATTGGACTCCCGGAGGGTTTAAGGGACCATGGTAAACATTTCGTTAATTTTTATTTCCAGGTGAAAAAAGTCAAAAATATTCCAAAATTGAAGGCTAATATCCACACATTTTGATTAATTTTAGATTTCAAGACCCTGGTGTCGAAAAGTTTTGAAATTCTAGGAGATATATGTCTCGGTGTTATATAATGCCGTTTGGAATCATATATGATCATTATTTGTTGTTATAAATGTTCGTGGTAGGCTTGATTTAATGAAATCTTTACAAGTTGTAAACTGGTAAATTGGCCGTTTAAAGGCAAATTGGATGGTTCCACCCACCTAATTGGACTCCCGGAGGGTATTGGGGACCATGGTAAATAATTCGGCAATTTTTATTTGCGGGATAAAAAAAGTCAAAAAATTCCAAAATTGAAGGCTATATCCACGCTTTTTTGATAAATTTCGAATGTTTCGGGTCCGGTGCCAAAAAGCCTTGAAATTTCAGGACTACATCTCATGGTCATATAATGCCGTTTGGAACCATATATGAACATTATATGTTGTCATAAATGTTATTGGTAAGCTTGAGATGATGAAATCGATGCAAGTTGTAAACCGATAAATTGGTCGTTTAAAGGCAAATTGGATGGTTCTACCCAACCAATTGGACTCCCGGAGGGTTTTAGGGACCATGGTAAACATTTCGGTAATTTTTAATTCCTATTGAAAAAAAGTCAAAAAATTCCAAAATTAAAGGCTAATTTCCACCCATTTTGAGAAATTTGTTAGGTTTCGGGGCTTGGTGTCAAAAAGTTTTGAAATTTTAGGAGAGATATCTGAGGGTCATATAATGCCGTTTGAAACCATATATGATCATTATTTATTGTTATATATGTTTGTGGTAGACTTGATTTAATTAATTTGATGCACTGAAGGTGAATATACCTACTCTTTATTTCATGCACTAAAACAGAAACTGTACTAAATGACTTAAATGGAGGAGGCTATACAGTTGGAGAAAAGGCAAGGTAAAGTGGATTTGTTTGGACGTGAGAAAAAGGCAAGAATCCCACCCATCAACAATTCAACACCACCAAGGCGCAAGGCCACAAATCCATAATTTTACTTTCATAGTGTATTACTTTTGGTTTCTCCAATTTCATCATTCATCAACTCAATCTTACTAAATACTCCGTATTAAACGTCTTTACACAAAATTATGATAAAATACTTAACAAAAAGTCAAAGATGAAAAAAGAACAAAGAGAATACAGGTACAAAACTTGTCAAAATTACAACTTTTTATTATGGGTTCACATAAAATTCTTTAACGATTTCGTGTCCTGAAGAATTGAGACCTCAAAAAGTAGAGTTAACTTAGTAAGCCATAATTTGATTTGTGATAATTATAATTACGGTACTACTATGATTTATGCTTAAATGAAGCTAAACTTAAGATAAAAAAAAAAAAAAAAAAAAAAAAAGAATAATAATGGTAATTAATGTGGGAATCTTAACAAACAAAATTAAGACAAAACGAGCCGTTGGAGAGTTATTAGAGTTCCATTAAAGGCAGTGAAATAACAACAGTTAGTAAATTGTACAGTACTGGAATTTCTGCTTGGGTCCCCACCCTTCTCCCAATTCTTACTGACACCTTTGAATTTTCTCAGAGGAAGGTTTTCCCTCTTGGCTCTTCTCCTCTCCACTCAAACAAACATCCTCCCTTTTCCATTAATTTAACTTTTCCCATATAATCCCTATTATTTCTTATTACTACTGCATGTTACGGATTCTAATAAACTTACCTAAAACTTGTGGTCAAATTTTGTCATCCTTACTTGATTAGGTAATCAATCCGCTACTCTACTCAACACATATTCATAGATTACGATTATATTTAGTGTTGGTTAGATTATCATACATTAATCAAAAGCTCACTACAAGTACTAGTACTAAAAATGAGTAATTTATCTACTTACTCGTAGTAGATTAACCAAAATATTTTCATTAGTGAACAGTAATTAGTAATTGCACACTTTTCGAGGCCTCATATATCATCTCTCTCACTCTTTTCACTGCTTTTTTTTTTTTTTTTTTTTTTCAACTTTAAAATCACTTTTCCCACTAATACCACCATCATTCTACATGTCAGCTAAATCTCCCTAAACCCTCATAACCTCATTATTCTCAAAATTTCTTACATTTCCCTCAAAATCAAAACTTTTTTTTTAAAAAAATGGGAAGTTCAAACTCAAGACCAGAAAAAACAGCAGCACTAGGAATGTGTAAGCAAAGAAAACGCCTAATTAACCAAGCAATTAACTCAAGATACAATCTAGCAGCTGCTCATATTTCCTACATTCAATCCCTCAAAAACATCGGCATTTCACTTCGTCGATTTGCAGAAGCTGAAGTTTTGATTGAATCTTCAATTTCTCTCTCTCCTACTCACAACACTGATCAACTCGACAAAACCCCTTCTCATCACTCTTCTTCTTACCACCCTTCTCCTTCCCTTGACGATGTTGTCGAGGTTTGTTCCTCGGAACCCAGATTAAGCTGCATGAAATCCGGCGTTGTCGGCGGAAGTGGCGGTGTTGCTGTTACTTTAAGGTATAATCCTAGTACCAACATTCATAGCTTCGTTGATAATAATGATGATGATTCCTTGGTTTTTCCGATGCCTCCGCCGCCACCTCCGCCGCCGCCGCTTATTCCTGAATCGGAAGCTTCTTGGGATTACTTTGAGCCCGCAGAAGAAAAGCCCAAGCCCGAACCCGGATCCGAACCCGAACCCGAGAGTTTTCGGTTTGTGGGTTTGGGTTGTAATGGGCCTGAAAGTGGTAGTGGTGGGAGTATTAGGTTGTGGGGTGAAGAGGGTAGTGTTGGAAATTTACAAAAGGTTGAGGGTGGTGTTAGTAAAATAGGGGGTGGTGATAGTAATTCTGGGCAAAAGGGGAAAGAATTGGGTGAAGAAAGGGAGGATCCGTCTGAATATATAACACATAGAGCTAAGGATTTTGTGTCAAGTATTAAGGATATTGAGCACCGGTTTTTTAGAGCTTCTGAATCGGGTAAAGAGGTTGCTAGGATGTTTGAAGCTAATAAAATTCGGGTCGGGTATGCCGAGGCTAAAGGTACTACTGAATACTGATCTTTGTGTTTGATTTTGTAAGAATTTGAATGTGTTATTCATGTAGAAATGTAATGCACTTTTTTTTTTAATTTATGTTTAGGAGGCTCGTCTTCATCGGAGTTTTTAGCGGCTTGTCCTTTGGTTTTTTGTCGTGGCAAAAGTGTTCATGCTGCTAATGGTGAGCTTTAATCATCTTTTGCTAGATAATGAATATACCCGTGTATTGGTGTATAGTAGTACTATTTTAGGATGTTCGGAAAAAGGGTTTTTGAGTTACCTAAATTGTGTGAGTTGTGATTATTGGGTGATAGACAGAGGGAATGTCTAACAATTACAAATGTTTATTATTATTGATATTATATCATACTGTTGTGTGATGGTTATTTTTATCCTTAATTGGATTAATTGTGCTTTATGCCTTTTGATCATGCTTGAATGAGTAGGGTAAGGGTTATAGAGTCTACATTGTCTTCAATTATTAATCTTAGTAAATTTGGTTTCTTATTCAAGATCAGTAGCCGAATCAAGGCTTGACTGACATTCTTTCCTATTTTGATTTATGAGTAGTGCTTAATTTGCTACTGCAATTTTGTAAATGATTGATCCGTCTAGTTCATATTTGATGAATATTTTGTTGTTGCTATTCATAGATCTTCAGCAACAAAATGTGCCCAAGGTGATTGTATGGAACAGGTCTACATCTTCACAATCGTCATCATCGAGGAATCCTCTTGCCTCTGCATCTAAAGATGATGCTGATGACAGCGGTAGTGAGTGTGTAGAAGATTTTTGCATGATTGCGGGAAGTCATTCCTCCACTCTAGACAGGCTCTATGCATGGGAGAGAAAGTTATATGATGAAGTCAAGGTATTTCTACTTGCATTCTTATCACGTGAACTGAATTTTGATGTTTTCTAGTTGATAGGGTACGCAGGATCATGGAAGGTTAAATTATTACTAGTCTGTTATCATTTGTGTGAGACCATTTTTTAGAATATTCCACTTGGGTGATCTGTTTCTCAATTTACAAGCAAACTTGACTAAGAACATTGCAACGTTGGGATGTAAGATGATTTATTTCCCTACTAGGGATTTGTTTACCGTGTTTAGCTTTCCAAAGAGAAGTGTACAAGTATGTTGACCTTTGTTGACATATATAGTTTCTAGTCAGTGTAGCATTTATAGATCCTGACTTTCATGCACAGACTACACTAAAAAGACGATGATATAAACATTGTTTTTGCTCTTTAGGGATGAGAAATATGAAAAATATCACAAGTTTGTGAGGTATTGTTATTTGATCAAACATCATTGAATTGTTGGTGAGGTAGGTTGATTTTGTTCTTCAACATTATGCAACCTAGGCTTATATGGAAAGGCTACCACTGATGTGCGGGTTCCCTATCACCATCTGTAAGTTACGGAGTGATTATGATACCGTGAAATATTTAGCCCCTCTAGGTTTGAAGCCTGACAAGAAATCAGGAATAATCCAACTGTAGTAGGACTAAAATTAGAATATGGTGAAGCCCTGTACCGGTTTTATACAAACAGAAAGGAATGCACTGAAGGAGTGTTCAAAGTCATCATATATGGACAGCGAGTTTCTTTATTGCTCTGTCTCAAAAATAGATGGTTTGCATCTTTTGAATGAAATTTCAGAAAGTACCTCAGATAAGGGTGGTGGTATAGTGATGTTTTACGCGTAACATGTTACTATAAGGAGAGATAGGGGAGCTAGTGCAAGTATTCTCATTTTTACCTTTTATCTGTTTTATAGAGTTTGTGTTTCTATGATTTAGTAATTTTGTCTTATTAATCATTAGGCCAGTGAAGTCATCAGGAAGCAGTATGAAAGGAAGTGTGATCAACTCCGGCATCAGTTTGCAAAGGATGTTAGTACTCATGTAATCGACAAAACCAGAGCAGCTGTAAAAGATCTGCACTCACGTATAAGAGTGGCCCTTCATGCTGTTGATTCCATAGCAAAGCGCATTGAGAAAATGAGAGATGAAGAATTACAGCCCCAACTTACTGAATTGATTACAGCGTAAGATACCAACTCAGTTACCTTTTTCTGGTAGGAACTTGTGATAGGAAAAATATCAAATGATAGATGTAATAAAAGAAATTTGGAATAATAGAAAGCGAAATAGATGGCTCAATCATTTTCCTAACTAATTGGCACAGCCATGATGGACCGTTAGCTCCTCTACCTAGTCATAAACCAGGCCTTATCATTCCCATGTCCTGTATTGTCTTTCAAGTAAAATGATTTATTACCATTTTCCATCAAAATATGGAATGAGTTAATGATTTGTGAATTTCGTGCAGATTTATAAGGATGTGGAAAGCCATGTTGGAAAGCCATCATGCACAATACATAACAATATCATTGGCTTACCATGCTAAGACTGCTATGGGGACTTTGGGAAGCGAAGCTCATAAGCAAATAATGTCTCAACTCCAGTATGAATTCGAGTGCTTTGGTCTCAGTTTCGCTGACTGGATGAATAGCCTCACATCATACGTGGAAGCAATCAATGGGTGGCTGCAAAACTGTGTGCTGCAGCCACAGGAACGTGGTCGAGGTAGCAGAAGGCCATTCTCCCCTCGTCGTGTCGTGGCCCCACCGATATTTGTCCTCTGCCGAGATTGGTCGGCAGGGATCAAAGCATTGCCTTCTGAAGAGGTCAGTGATGCAATTAAAAACTTCTTGTCCGACCTGCAACAGCTGATAAAGCAACAGCAGCAAGCAGAGGAGAAAAAGGAGAGAGCAGTTTCAGAAAGCAATGGTGAAATACAAGGGAAGGATGAAGATGCCAATGAGGGTAAATCTGAGAATTTGGGCTCTATCCACACAAGTTTAACAAAGGTGCTCGATAAACTAACCAAATTCTCCGAGGCTTCCCTGAAACTCTACGAGGATATTAGACAGAAAAATGAAGCAGCTCGTCTTGCATATTTGAATCCTAGACCACCTTTCAGATACTGAAACTCTGAAAGGTCCATGTAATTACTACTGAAAATATATCTGAGCGTTTTGCTTCTAATACACCAAGTTTGAGAGTCTGCAGCATCTGCAAGACTGCTAGAACAATTAGCCAGAAAAGCATTCATCATCTCAAATTAGTGCTTGTCTTTTCATCCCTATTTAATATCGAGTTTGATGATTAAAATGCATTCACATCATCTGTTATCCGAACAGGCACTTGGTCTGCAGGAAAGGGTCACGTAAATAAAGACTGTTGACATTGATTGGGAAAACTTGTATCTATTAGTTGCATTGCGTTGAGATGCTTGAGAACTTGCACAAATGTAATTAAACAATAAAATAATCTCCTCTCATTTTCCTATTATTCTATGTCAAGCCTGAGATTGAGATGCCAAAGAAACTGCATGCTCATACAAACATCAGCACAGCATCTTAGAAGACTTGTGTCAAAATAATGTCTAATGAGAGCCAAATGTAACTGCAGCTCCTTTATGCTAAAATGTATCTGAAATGTTATCTTTTGAAAGTCTATTCTTCAAAGAAATTAATGATTTTTCATAAAAGAATTGTTTGAACCAAACGAATAGCCAATATAAATAAATATTTTAACTGGCAATACAATATGCTCACTTAGGTATACCAAAGTGCATAAAATGCAGAAGAGTTAGATGATTTAGATACATTTGCTCCAAGCCAAAAACAGCAAGGGCGTCTTCTACTGTCACATAGTCACAGCCTCATAGGGACTTCTACTCCAATCCTTCACACACCCAAAGATACCACGAATGAAAAATGACTTTGGCCGTGGGAAATACCTTCACATTTCTTTAAAAAATATACAGACACCGATCCTCCAACAAAGTTATAGAATATTTTTCTCCGCTTTATGGGCAATCAATCCCTGTTTCCAGATCTAGAATCCAACCTGTTGTGTATACTGAGTATAAGCTTCCTTTTGCATTGCTATCGGGGCACGAGTGACATCGTCTGGAAGGTCAAATGCATCAACTAGCTCCTTTGCTACATTCCTTACTTGGAAGCTAAGATAGTCTACCAGCTTATGAATAGCCTGCAAAACCACCGTTGATCTGAGCATAAGCACTGCACTATTTTTTACTTGCCAGAAACGTATTAAATTGCTCTTACAGAAAATTAAACAAATATTTTAGGCATATGAAATACTGTTCCTTTAGAATGATAACATGATTAATATACCCTCTATTGATAAGAAACCAGTTATATTCAAAATATATCAGCAAAATTTTACTTTTTCTCTTATTTTACCAAATAATATGAAGCAAAGTAAGTAACATCCTGCATAAAGAAAATAAACAAATTTGAAGTAATCATCTAGAAAACAATACCTTAGCTTTGTTGGGAGCTACATAATCCACATTGCGATATGTTCCTATGTCATTCCAGATACGGTCCAATGCATATAGATCGCAGGCAAGTTTCAAAGCAGCACGGCTGCTCTCATCGGGACAGCTAGGGAAGAAAAGGATCACAGAGAAGCATCAGTAAATAAACATTTAGGAGACTTGAAAGAAATATAACCAGAAATAGGGGCTTGAAATATCATATGAGGTCAGAGAAAGAAGGTGAAAAATAAACCTTTTTACAGCATCAACGAATTTTGCAAGTATGACAGATTCAATGTGAGACTCTGCTAGTGTAAGAAGGTGATTTAAGCATCTATTCCAAGCACCAAAAGTGCCTAGAGTTTTGGAGTGCTTTCGGAGACGCAATGCAGCACTATGAAGAAGCCTTGATGTTCGGTACTGCAACAAAAATTAAAAACTCAACATTAATACAAACATCCTGTTTATAGGTGAGTAACAACAGTTATAGACCATAATGTCAAGCCAGTTACCCTGAAAGCGTCCAGCTGAAATTGTGGATCTCTAAGATGCTCTTCACCTTCCCAACGAGCGGTCACAGGATTCGGAGCAGAGAGATACGCATTCATCGACTCTCTCAAATAGTTCCATGTCCCTGCAATAGCACCCCCTTGGAACTTCTCCTGGTACCTTTTCAATAGATCCCCTGCAACCTGTGTTTTTGGCAGCAAGTCAGCTTTCTGAAGTCATTATATACCCCAACAACTACTCCAGCAAACGAGATTAATGAAATTATTTTGTAGCAGTAGAAATATTCAATGGTAGTACAGTCAGTGTAGCAGATCAATGAAAAACGAGACAAGACAGCGAGAATCCAATCTGATCATGAACCTACTATACAGTGATTGAACATGCAGGCTCCAATTACATCTTATTATTAACTTATAAATCTAAACATCAATAGAAATCTTTTACTATATAAGAAAACAAATATGCACATGGGTAAGCAAACAAATTATTGGCTCATTAACAAAATACTAAGGAGTTTGATCATACCTGTTGCAGAAGCACTGTATTATCACCTTCAAATGTCTGAAATATATCATGATCATTCCTTAAGCTGCCAAACCTGTTCACAGCAGCATAACCATGACCCCCACAGGCTTCTCTGCAGATACTTATCGACTTTGCAGTAAATGAAGTCACATATGCCTTTAGACCAGCAGAAAGAGCATGGACCTCACCCACGAGCTCATCATCGTGTGTCTTCTTCATCTCGGAATACTTATCTACCAGATCTAGTGTTGCAAAGTGGAATGCATAGGTTGATGCCAACATGGGCATCAGCTTATGCTGCTGAGATTGATAGTCAAGAATACTAACTTCCGGTTGCTTTGGAGGCCCAAATTGCTGTCTTAAAAGAGAGTATCTAATGGCTATAGTGGATGCAATCTTAAGCACACCAACGGAGGAATAAGCAAGGCCAACTCGTCCCCCTACAAGTTCTCCTAAGGTGGCTGCAAATCGTTTGTTGATGGTGGGAAGACTGCTAGTATACTTGCCATCACGTGAAACATCCCCAAAGCGATTTAGCAGGTTATCTCGGGGGATTCTCACAGAACGGAATCGCAGAGCTCCATTATCCACTCCATTCAGGCCAACCTTATGACCACAGTCATGTATTTCAATCCCTGGAAGAACTTCATGAGTCTTCATATCCCGAATAGGAACAATGAAGGCATGGACACCCATATCAGTAACACCTTTTGCATCATGAGATGGCAACATTAGCTTTGCAAAGACTGTAGCAAACTTGCCATGAACTGCTGCATTTCCAATCCACCATTTGATGGCCCCATCATTAGGTGTGTCTACAATGAATTCGTCTGTGATGGGATCGAACATTGCAACAGTCTGCAGGCCCTGGACATTTGAGCCTTTCAAACACAAAACATAAGTTAAATTTCGCCATAAAAAGATATTCTATCATACCAATAGACAGCAATGTGTTCAGAAAATCAGTTTCTCAGATGGAAACCTTTACACAGTCACGGAGTATAATCAATCTGTTCACAATGAAGATAAATTTTATACACTCTACACAAAACTACGACTATAAATAAAGATATACCAATAATTAGATTGTCTTGAAAGAATTATGCAACATACAAAACATATTACAAGTTCTAACAACTAGATACTGTTAATCCAAAATGACAAGTTAAAAGAATCTACAATTCTACACCTTACAGGTTCTCTAAAACATAATTTCAATTTTTATTTTTTATTTTTTATTTATTTATTTATTTTTATTTTTTTTTTGCTTTATTGTACTTCCTTTGTCCAAAATTAAAATTATTATTTACATTGATTGTGTAATTTACGCTAAATTGGACAATCAAATTTGGACACAAGGAGCATAAATTAAGTTCTAGTACAAATTGTAAAAAAAAAAAAAACCTCATGTCATCATATAGTAAAGGGAATGTTGATTTACCGTGATGAAGTTCTGTCATAGCAAAACAACCCATATAATCAAGGTTGTCAATTCCATCAAAGTACTTATCTTTATGTTTTTTAGTTCCCAAATTCAGCACTGAGCCTCCCCATAAACTGCACCACATCCACAATTACCAAACAAATCAAACCAAATCAACCAAAAGACACAAAATTATAACAATACTCTACCAAGATCAAAAGTCTTGCATACAATGGATACATTACCTCTAACCAAAAACTTGGTTATAGGTCACCCCAAATCACATTAAAGTCACACCTTCAAAAAAGTCGACTTTAATGTGACTCGAGCCTAATTAAATACACCCGTTGTATACAAGTTTCCGTGATGGCAACATTACACATAAAACAAAGTTTAATATACCTGTATTGAACACCCATTTTAATCCCAAGAGACATATCAATACCCCCAACAGCTTCAAGAATCGCAAAATATTTAGAAGGTTCATCAACAACAAATCGAAAAGGTCGAATTCCAGCTTCTCTAACCAAACCCAGAAGCTGTTTCAAACACAATTCTCTATGATCATCTTTTAAGATTTCAATTGGGGTTTGAAGTTCTGGTCTTCCTTTAAAATATTCATACACTTTTTCTTGAATATCTCTGTATTTTCCTCTCATATAATCTGATAAAGCTTCCATATTTACTTCCATGGATGCCTTCTTCCCCTTCTCTCTCTCTCCTCCTCCTTCTCCCCTGCATCTTTCGACCTCCATTGATGATTCAATTTCATTCTTGATGATTATTGGGTGCAGATGCAATCTCAGCCGTTCGATCCGACGGTTCATGATTGATAAATTCTCTGACAAATCTTCTTCCTCCCCGGTATGATTCATCTTCTCCGATCTTCTTTGCATTTTGACTGATTTTTTTTTTTTTTTTTTTTTTTTGGGATTTTTTCGAGATTTTTTTGGCGAAAAGTTTCTTTGATATGAATTATGGATGACTTTCTATATTTAAAAAAAAAATAAAAAATTGCGTGGTAATCCGGTAATAATTTGAATACGTGGAATCGCGTGATAGGATATAGTTTTGGCGGGTGTAATTTATACTACGTATTTTCTGTCATAAAATTAAAAATAAAAAAAAAATTAAGGTTGTTAGACGCTCCATCCAATGTAAACATTGAGAGAGGTATGAATGAAGATATGATTGTTGAGTAGGACATTATCTGTGTTCTTCGGTCAAGTGGTCAACCCATCCTCATTATCTCATCTTCATCACGTCCAAATTGTATCCTTCTTTCCAACTTATTACGTATTTTATTTGGTAAGTTGCGGCGAGAAAACAATAATGTATTGAACGTCGGCTCATTTAACTAGCTCAAATAATAAACTAGATGAGTAGTGTTCATGTTCAAGACATGAGATTAAATTGTACGGTGTAATACTATATTTTGTACCATTTATCCAAGTACAACATTTAATTCGATTGTTCACTATTATAATGACAAATTTTGAAATTGTTTCAATGAAATCCCAAATACTACAGAGTACAAAATACAAAAGATTAAAAAATATAAATATAAATATAAATGCAAGATATGAACAAAAGAGAGTTTAATATTTAACTCAATTCCTTAAAATGAATCTTCATATCAAATTTAATTTTTATTAACGGACTAGTATGAATTTCAAGAAAATACTTTGAAAATAATCAAATCTAATTTAACAGCAAATAATCAAATCTAATTTTACAGCAATTATTGGCAAATCTATCAAAGGTAATGAAACGGAAAATAAACCCGTATCCGTATTGACCCACTAATTGGCATATTTTGTTGGCCCAAATAAGCAAGTTAAAGCCCAAATAACGTACACTCATGATTATGAATACATTATACACACTTGGTATTTTGTTGGCCCAAGTAGGCTAGCTAAATGCCTGAATTACATAACCTTAAAATACATACTTGGTATTTTGTTGGCACAATTACAAGATTCTTTTTTACATACATCGTTGACAGAAATAAACTCACTTTAATACATGTGGTATTACCACTACAAAATACAACGTACAATGTGGTGTTCAATTAAGCAGGCTAAATGTGCCATCAACAACTTTTTGATGAGTGAGGCGCTTGATTAAAAGAAGAGGGTGGGCGTGGATTGCGATTGAGGAGGCACAAAGGGCAATGGAACGGGTGTAGGTGGTGACATGATAGGAGTAGTTTAACATGGTAGACGGCACAACATTGGTGCGAATGGAACCTGACAATGAGACATCGGTTGGATTTGAACACCACCACCAAAACCGCCTTGTCCAAGTATTGGATATCCGGTTTGATTGGTTACTTGAGGCCCCCAAAGCCATGGTCCGGATCCAATTCCATGGAGGCCATGGCTGCGTCATCATTTGGGCTGCATATGGAGCTTGAAACTGGCCCTGTTCACTTCTTAATTTTGAAATCGCCTGCATTTTGCAAGTCCAATTGTTATAAACTCATACATGTCATATAGTTATGTGCAATATTGCAATAATGTACTATATCTTATTATAAGTTATAGCTTTAAATACGAGGTAGTTGACAATCACATATATAAGTCCAATACAAATTTGTGAATAAAGCAGTACTAAGACGTAAGTATTTATTTACATGAATGTGGAGCTTCAAGGATTTTATATACTCAATGGCACGCTCGAGGATGATCGCATGATTCCCCTACAACATTACGCCACAAAAACTCATAAATATATGCATAATAATAATACGAGAAGCAAATAACTATGTCATGAATTCATGATGATATTTATACGACTATGAGAACCTTGATTATACCTTGCCGCAAGGGGGAATCAACTGTTAAATGGCTTTTATGTTTGCATTGATGCGCTCCCTTCTTCGTTTGTTCCCGCTACTTCGTTTCTGTGTACGTTTCTATGTACATACAATTGGCATGAACAATTATGAGAATTCATCAATTATGTTGGTGAGATAACAAAACAAGACTACAGTTGACGTAAACAATTTGGCGCAATCATGACTCATGAGGAGTTGGCACGCAATATTACTGCGATAACATAGATTTTTATGATTGCAACATTTATTATAATTTGTCATCAGATAATGCTTCTTAATATGGAGTATTTATACTAAATATGATTTAATATTTTTTTTTAATAAATACTTATTAATGATTGAAATTATGCTTAATAAGTATGAGAATATTATTGTAACTTTAAATATTGATGAATTGAAGTACATTCCTATAGTGACTATATATAGTCATCGTTTTATTGATCTTGGTTCTAACATTGCATGTTACGTGATTACTTACATGCACTTATTAGGTTTTTCTTAACAAACTTATAAGGACACCGTACCAATGTATCATACTATCATCAGCATGTTGCCATTTATGAATAAGCAAGCGAAGATTGCGATAAACTCACTTTAAATGAATCTTGTAGATGATGATGACCGTCCCTTCGCTCAGGTTCCGCCGGAATAAGCTGCTTTCCTCTAGAATCATCTATTGCTTGATCAGCCACATTTTTTATTTCTGCTCCCTGCTCATTTTAATATGTGAGATCGATGTTTTATCAGAAAATATACACTTAAAAATGCACTCCATGTATATTTTTTGGGTCATATGATTTTCTTGCTCGATTCTAAATTTAAATGAGTGAATAAATCATACAATGAGCAAAGTATACCCTTGTGCTCTTAATAGAGGTTTTGAATTAGGATTGTTTTTAGTACAGGAACAAATGATCACTAACTAGTAATCTGGTTAAAAATAATATCATGTACTGTTAAAAGCATATATGAAATTTCAGGAAATTCTGACAAAACTTGAAACTAGGTATATTAGGCATCCTGGCGGCAATCTGTAGGATTTGTTTGTGACGTTAACAACATTTATCAATTCTTGTAAAGAGTATATTGTTAAAAAATAAAATTTAAATACTTTTAGAATAGGTATGAGGAAAATGGGGTAATTAGTCTAATAAACAACCTAACACTTTGAGCAATATTTACTTCATAAAAGATATACCTACGAATTAAATTATTTTGTCCTTTAAGACTACTTGTATAGAGATGAAATTACTTTCGTTCTAAATCACAACACTTTATATTATAATTCAGCATTATTCTAGAAAAGAGGTTATTTAATCAATATTTAGTTTATATTATCATTATGAATTTGTATTAGACATTTATAATTTCTCTATAAGTAATTAATAATTAGTACTCTACATATATACGATCCTCCTAGCTAAACATGCATACTAACCTCATGAGGAAGTGTATGGATGGGTGTGGGATCACACCCTTCTTGAAACAAATCATATTCTATCGTATATGGATCATCCAAGTGATGATACTCGGGTTCGGGTTGTGGCAGGGTAACTTCAGAAAGATATTGGTCAATATCATCAAATAATAATGATTGATGATGATCATGAAAATGACCCCCTAAGTTTTCAAGGGACGTCGTAGTAAAAATATTATTATCTTTAAAAGTTTCGAAGGAATAAGGAGGAGTCATACTTAGTACTGCTGGTTTGATCTTTCATTTTTTCGAAGAGTTATACATCTCCTTATATATACAATCCAGTGGCTCAAATTCCTAGTTCAAGCACTATTCTAAGTTAATTTTACATTGGTTGTATAAGCATTATATTTTAGAATGTTCAAATATATTTATCCTCATATTTTAAGACTGACGTAATGTATTATGTTAAATAGATTGCCACTTTGTATATTACTGCGTAATGGAACATGTTACATATATTGCCACTTTCTACCGCCTTTGTATTATATTATGCATCATTTTTGAGGAATTGTCACTTATATTCTCGGTTATGCAACATGACTACGATAATAATTGTTCGGAAAATGATGATGATAATTTAATAATTGTTCGGAATATGACGATGATAATTTAATAATTGTTCGGAAAATGATGATGATAAATTTTTTGGTAAGATTGTTTGCGAGGTGATGACCGAATCTAGGATTCCAAATTCAATTGCAGTGATATACATTGCGGTGCTTAATCTGTGTCCTGGCCACACCGTGTGATCGGGTTACTTAGTCGATTGACGCATTTTCTGTGTGAGAGGAACCCCTAACCGATCGAGTAACCCCTGACGGACCGAGTAACCTGGCCTTGAATAAGTAACACCTAACTTATCAAGTAACTCTTGACCGACCGAGTAAACGCTAAATAAGTAGCCCAAAATAAGTAATCCCAAGACCATACGGTGTGGTTAGCCACATATAATAAAAAATTGTGAAAACATTGTGGAATAATCCTATGAAACAAACCCCCACGCCCATGTACACGAGCAAAAAAAAAAAAAAAAAAAAAAAAAATTGATTCGGTTTCTTTTTTAATTTGTTCCACTAATAATTACTTCCATAAATTTTCTAGAAAAAGCTATCAAATAAAATAAGAATATGGCAAATTAATGCTGTTGCCCAAGTAATATAAATTTAAGAAAGATATATAAGTGCAAAATATGGTTTGATAAGCTTGTCCATATATTCAATTTATGATTACTAAAATAAATTTTGATGAATTTATGTGTTAATGTAAGTTTATATAATTAAAAAAATCATGCCAATTGAACGCATTTTTAAACTATATTATAGTATTGTATGTTAAAAGATTCAGTTGAACCAAAAAAGCATTGTGGCTTACATAATATAGTAATTATTCATTCTGTATATAGTAATTAATGTTGACATGTTATTAATTATTGATTTAATACCTATCCTGACTTAAACTGAGAAATTATAACTTAACCTATATACAAACCGACTGGAAGCTTGGTCTAACAAACAAAGAATAATGAGAATAAGATTTTGTCAAGTTAAATTAATTAAATAATTGCATGGTAGAAGACAGTTTCAAGTGAGAGATATCTTGTTTGATATATAAAAATCAATATATATCGACCAATCAAGTTAAGCGGGGGAAGACGAGAATGACAGTTTTCATGTGAATCGCTTGTGAAGTCAGGCTAACTATCAATGAAAGTATCAGATTTTGTCTCTCTATTCCGTTTAGTTTGTTTTTATTAGCTCATCATTACAGCCAACTACTATGCGAGTAGTAAATAAATGAACAACATTTGGCTCATCATCTCCGCCTCCACCGGCCTTCACCTTCACCCAGCCGGCAC